TATATAGTTATACTGAATTTTTTGATTGCAGTTTAGATGATTGAGAATCTATGAGGAAAAATGAAAATGTTTCATTGTTGCTAAAAGTTTTCATAAAAAAATTTTCACCTTAGCATAATTTGAGAAGGTATTTTTTATTTTAAAACCTATGACAAACTTAAATCTTTTCTAAAACATTTGAAAACGTTTGATGAGGATATTCATGTACCACTGATAGAACGGAAGCCACCTAATTATTGTCTAGAAAAGGTCTATAAAAAGAAGGAAAAGAGTTCAAGTTGGTATAAGCTACTTTAGTAAACAAGACCTCGACTCAAAAGAAGAAAAAAACGAAACAAGAACAGATAAGGCTTCTAGCTTTTTAGAAGTCTGGTATCCAAACAAAAGTATTAAACAAAGTCGTTGAATCTAAACTTTTTTCAAATGCTTATATTTTAATCACTGTATTATATATTGAAAATTGTTTGGTTATATCACCTGCAAAACTTTTTTGCCTTGAAGTGACACGGGGATTTCTATTCGGGTTGACAAATCCACAATTAATTGTTATACGACTTCTTTTCCCAACTCGGCTTTTATCAAAATCAAATCCTCACATATGTAAGATAATTCCTGTATTTTGCAAAAAGTCAAAATCACATGTTCAGAGAGACTTGTATTGTGTGATGAAATCCGGGTATTTCTTGATTCCTGCTGAAAACGTTTCTAACACAAGCGAATCTTATTATACCATGTTCTATATTCATATAAAAATTTTAGTTTTTTGAACATTTATTAGTAACAGATAAGGCATTTCTGTCAGTCTGCCTTTTTACCTTTTAGTGTTTTGCGTTTACGTAATCGCAGCTTTAGATTATAGAGCAGTCGTTTAGAGACTCTGTCAGAATCTGTCAGATACCGAACGACAAATGAGCCACTATATAGTACTGATTCATATACAGTCGCTTTCAAAGTTAATGAAAGATTGTGAAGGAAAAGTTAGCATCATTGGAGGGAAATTTCTCTTCATTGTTAAATGGCTGGTCAAAAATTGAATCTTATTTCTCCATTATTTGAATAAGTTAATCTGTTCTTTCAAAGTTTCGAAACTTTTAAAAAAGTTCTAACAAGAAGTGAAGCTTAAAAGTGACATCTTCAGACGGAATAGGACAAAAATATTTAGAGTTCCTTCCAGAAGATGTTTATAAAACCATGCACAACTAATTAATAGTTCTATTTCAAACAGACGGGAATAAAGATTTTGTAAATACTTACATAGGTATTGGTCTTTTGTTTGAAATTATTAAAGAAAAAATTTGTAATTCTGGTACAGCTATACAGCTACCAGTAAACAATTGTTCAAGGAACTGTCGAAACAAATGGACTTAACAGGTATTTGAACTTTGCTACACAACTGATAACGCTTCAATGTAAAGTAAGTTACAGCAGCAAGGAGTTGCAAATTCGTAAATGGTGTTAGTTTCGACACAATTGATGTCTACGATGCATTTACAATACTCATTCAAACATTTTTCTTAAGCTTTCTGTCATAAATAACGGAAGATTTTTCTATGGCTATTGTTTTGTTGTGCCTCTAAGGATTTTTACACTCATATACTTTTGTAAGCTTAGGCTCAGGTAGGAAGCAGTTGCGTGGTTATGTGGTTTAAGCTTGGAAGTGCATTTAGCTGTTTCAACTTGTGTTAGCAGATACGGATCACTTGTAATCCTTTCTTCAAAACCTGCAAAGATTTTGAACTTTATGTAGTCGTCGATCTTCCTTAAAAATCAGCTAATTTATAAAGCTGACAACGAACTTTGTAGAGGAAGGGTTGGTAATGTGACAAACTTGACTGCAAGTGCAAATATAACAGTATAAACTGACGTATACCATGTAAGACAACTCAATTACTAATGCCTTTATTCACTTAAACAGCTTCCAGCAACAGCATTAAGGCAAATTTTTGAGGACTTTTTCTTGTTTCTTATAAATGCAATGTAGAAAAAAGTTAATTATGTATGAAAAATTAAAATGAAATTGAAATTAATTAGCTAATATATTCGAAATAAAACTACAAAAATACAACCTGAACTTTAAAGTTTAAATTAGACTGGTTCAATAAGCATGAATCAAAAAGTACTTGAATTGAGGCCAACTAGAAGAAAAGTTGAAAACAGGAATGAAAAAGTTGAAAGGAAAAGGGATTTGAAGGGTTGGTGTTGATATACTCAAAATTAAGCGTAATTTATCAAGAACTTGGAAATTTCTTAATTTTTGATCTTTGCTTGTTTACGTCTTCTTACTTCTGCGTGTTCCTCGAAAAAGTTCTCCTAAAAAATCTGTCGACACAGGCGAGAAAGTGTTGATAATATTTGGAGATCTTAGGATGTTACCGTTAGGTGCAGATTTACCCTGGACCTGTTAAGATGTCGAATTTAAATGATTAAAACACAAGAGGTTTGAAAACAAAATGTTGATTTAGGTTGATAGTTACTTTTAGAGCAAAAGTAGTCAAAATTTAGATTATAAATTTGCTTAGAAGTCTTTTTATACATTAACAACAGCAATGAAGCTTTGTCGAGAATTACTGGTTTTGACCAACCAGGAACAAATAAAGTCTCACATTTCTTTGCAATATTTCATTTTTTGATTTTTCGTTCTGTTTCTCGTCTCTCTGCATTTTATTCTGAGGTATTCAGGAGAAAAAAAAGAATTATTGATCAACTAAGGCGAATAGTAAGGAACAAAAGTAAACCAGAATAGAAGTAAAGTTTGTGACAACAGATCTTATTTTGACTTGACAGAACAATTCTGTTTTGAGCTGTTTAAATACTGTTACCTTAGCTTCAATTCAGTTCAATTTTTATTTACGCGGTTATTTGGTCTTTTTTGCTCAATACTTTCTATTATTATTTGTTTAATTCTTATACAGTATAAGTTAATTTTAGCTTTCTAAAGTGTACAGTCAAAGACTGTGTTTAGGTTTTCATGTAACTGTGTTAAATAACAACTTTATAACTTAACTGGTGTTTATCTTAAGCAAGTCATTTTTTGTTATTACATGCTAATTTTATGCTTACAAAGTTATAACATTTTTGTTTTTATTGATCATCTTTGCTTTAGTTAGAAAAGTTTAACAAATGGTCAAGCTTGTTGTGCTGTATTCAAATTAATGGCAGAATTTGCTCTCTCGCAATAAACTGCTTATCTGTTGATGTTGTCGACGTTGTTATTCTGTAAACTATCTTATAAAATTTGTAAATAATAAATTGCAGATAAATGTTGAAATAAAAGGTTATAAACTTGAGACAATTTTTTAAATAAATTTTGACTTTCCAGTTGAATTTACAGTTAATAATTTGTTAATTTACGACTAACTTTGTTCACTTTTCAAAACGACAGTGCACAAGAAATAGACAATTTTAATTGTGAAAATTGAACTGATGAACAACTGTTTGCATGAAATTCATGCAAAGATTTTAAAAATTCTTATTGCAGAAGTGTTTAAATGGTAGTTTATTTGAACAGAAAACATTTGTCACAACTGTTTGTTTAAGTTTTGGTAATATCAACCGTCAAACATAACACTTTAAACATTTCCTGGTTTTACGTTCAAATAGTTCTCTATCAAAAAAAAAAAAGAAGCAAAAAGCAACTTTTGTAATTTAATCAAAAATAAGTTTTATCTTTTTTGTTTTGTCAAAAAATAATTTGTCATTGAATGTGGCTAAAGTATTTTTGATCATATATTTTGCCAAAGTTATGTTAATAAACACTAAAATTGTCAA